CCTATCCCCTGTGTGCCTTGCCTCCCACGACTATTTTGAATAAAATTAGACGGTGGATGATAGGGGATGTATAGATTTTTTATGTTGTAGGGAAAGTATAGAAACCTTTCCCACCTAAAAAACCTGGATTCACTTAGTTTTTTAAAATAAGGAAAATTGTTTCATACATGGGGATTGAATTTCTGCATTTACGGTTCCCGAGGTGTAAAACATCCATCTTAAAAATGGATGCAAATAGGTGGTCCATCTAAAAAAATTGAAACTAACAAGCCAAATGTTTTTTAATAGAATTATTATTTTTAATTGTCAAATTTTATTTATTTATTTGTATTCATGACCTCCATGTTTGAGGTTACACGTCTTTAAAAATTAGGTTAAAAAATTAATCTCAAAAATAGATTTTTAAGAGTTGACTCATTTCTACAAGGACTCTAATTGTATTCCTAAAAAAATGTATTGGTAACCTAGATTGCCTATTCGAAAAATTGGTTCGAGTCGACAGATTGGCGGTATTGATAGGCGATCCAACCAATCGAACCAACCAATAAAAAAAATAGAGAAAAACAAATATAACCAATAAAAATAAAAATATCAAAAAATAAAATAAAAGATCGGCCGGATCAACCGGTTCCTAACAAAACTGGCTTAGGGAGTTTTTTTACGTAAAAATACTTTCACATAAATAGTTTTATGCGTATAAAAGGTTCCCTTGCAAAAATCACCAAATAAAGAAAGTAAGAATCTTCAATGTAAAGGTAAAAAGACAAGAAAAAAAAGAAAAAAATTCACCTTCAGACTCCGGAATTGTTGGACTTCCACTATGACTAGGGCGCCTCAATGAAGCGAACAATTTGGTTTGTAGCAAGATGGTTCTTGGGTTCGGAGCCATCACCTTGGACCGGGGTCCTAATCAACTCGACCGATTCTTTCATCACGGTTGAGAATTGATGGATGTTTTGTACGAGAAAATAGACCCCAAATTTTTTATAATCAACTCGGCCGGTTTCGTGTTCTCACAGCAATCTTTTGAAATATGTTTTTTAGATTGCCTATTCATGGCCCTTATAAAATTGTAATCCCCATGATTTATCAGTAGACGGCCAGGATTAGGTACAAAGTCCACGAGAAAGATCCCGCCTTTTTATCATAAATTAATTCAGAAAGATAGCACCTAGCTTACCAAAGGGTTGAAATTTTGGATTCTAGAATCGAAATTTCGTGATCGTGTGTCTTAACTCCAAAGAAACGTACCTTCCCTTTTTTTTCATATTTTATTGAAATTGAGGTAGGATTTCGCAAAGTTTAGTATATTTAAGAGGTGACTTTTATATTTAAATTTCAGTAAATGATGCCACCTGCTCAAATAAAACACACGTTGATTCAAGATGGTATGAACCAAACGATGTTATTAAAAATGGATCGAACCATTTTCTCGACAGTATTACTTGGGTATAATTTGATAAGATTTCTCAACCAGATGTTGTTGAAATCTGCGTATCATGATAATCTTATAGCTTTTTGCATGTGTCTAACGCATCACGAATAGCGTATTCGTCATTTCATTATAAAAATACTTAATGTAACTTAAAATTTCATATTCTCTCTCCATAATTGATGTGTGAGCATGCTATGTCTAAAAAACCAACTTTAAAAAAAGAGAAAAAAGAAATTAGTATAATAAAATTAACATTTCTCATATTACGTACAATACTTTAGATATATTTTTAATGTTTTTCTCATAATTTCATTATAAAAATATTTAATGTCACTTGAAAATTCATATTCCCTCTCCATAATTGATGTCGGGTATATGTATTTGAAAAACAAACTTAAAAAAAATTATGTTAATATTAAAAAAAAAAATTTAAAATTAATATTTTTCATATATGTATGAGTGTTGGATGCTGATACACAACCATGCATGTGTAACAGATGAAGTTATTTTTATCGCATGTGATGTATGGAAACCCCACACCGCGCATATATAAGGATCACAAAAAGAAATGTAGTGTAAAAATTTATCTTAGGAGCATTTATATCAAATCTTAGAAGTAGAAAACAAAATTGTTAGGATACGACAATGCTATTTTATAGTGGGACAATGTCATGCTTAGGTGGAGGACTTCATGCTCTACTCTTATTTTGTACTAATTGTTTCATTTCTACCTCGGAGATTAAGGGGATTAAGTGACAAAATGTGTTTAAAGTAAGGGAAAATTTTATATAGAACCCTAATTCCTCATATTATTTCACGGTAGACCTTGATTCAGTTTTTTTTTGAAACGGCATAAGAAAACCCCTAAAGATTTAACAGCACCCTCTCATCTCTTATCTCCCTCTTTAATTGACTTTTGACCATAAAAATTAACCTCAATAAATATTTTTATACCATTTCAACCCAAAAACTATTACAACTATCTATTTCTCTTTCCACCCATTAAAAAAGTTTTTGGGCTGAAATAGTATAAAAATATTTTTTAGGATTAATTTTTATGATAAAAAATAAATAAAAGAGGGAAATAAGAGAAGAAGGGGTATAGTGAAATCTTCATGGGTTTCCTTATGCCGCTTGAAAGAAAAACGAAAAGAGGGTCTACCATGAAATAATATGAGAAATTATGGTTATCTATGAAATTTTCCCTTAAAATAATACTCTTACTGCGTGGATACTAGGAATACATACTGGCGTAATAATTGATAACCATATATTTTAGGTGATTTATAGTAGGGATGAGAACGACGGAGCATGATTCGTATGGCCGATCCCCAAATAGTCCAGAAAAGTTTTTCAACATGTAGCAATATTAATAAGTTTTTTCAATCAAGTTTCATTTGACCCATATCTGTCACTAACCCACAACTAATAAATAGTAGCATCTCACGTTCCAAATTTGTTGTTAAAAAGCATGTGGCAATATTATTAGTTTTGAGGTGGCTTTCCTACTTTTTGCAAATGAAAATATGTTTTTGGAAGGTGGTTGGTGAAGGAACAATAAACATCATGTTATGGCACCTTACACCCTAACTACCAAGCCCAAGATAGACCCCATAATGATGGATTTGAATGAAAATAATGATAGACAACATAGATGAAGATTCCCTATTTTATAAGATTCTCTCTTTCTCTCTACCTTGCTCAAATAAAAACTTTGTAGTCTTCTCTC